TTTTTGTCCTCTGGACTGAAGTCCGACCCTGGACCTGAGCTCCGATCGAGTCTGGAGTGAAGCTTCAGTGAACCTCAGCTGTCGTCACCACAGTGCAGAACATTGGCTTAAATCAGGCCCGAGGATGATGAACAAGAGTCTTCACTTTGTCAGGTTACCATCTTTAAACGTGTTGTTAAGATGTAACTTAAGACTGGTCGTCTCAGTGGGTCTGACTCACTGATCAATAAAAAGGTTTAATGTACACAGTTTAAAAATATTTACAACGAGAAAATTCTGCTCAAACAGATAAATGTGATGCAACGGTGTCCCACCAAACGCTGACATTTCTACCCGCTGTTACAGCGCAGGAAGCCTGAGTGGGAGCAGAAGCCGAGACTTTTTCCACAAACTCAAGTTTTCCCTCCGTGTGTCAGGAGCCAGACCGCACGCTCACGTCTTCAACCCGGCTGCAACGGCCACGCCAAAACCGCCATGACGGGCGAAAGACCGTGACCCAGAATGTGATGTGAAAGTCGTCACGTGACGCTCACGACACAAGCAACGCGGCGAGCACAAAGACGGCGCCGTGACTCGTCTGATCCGACCTTCACGTTACATCTCATGCCTGCAGTCGGCTGCTGTCATCGAAAGCTGCGCTTATCTCTGCAGCTGCGTCCGCTGTATGGGCGGGTCCATCCCAGCTGAGAGGCGGGACCTAAACTGGATAAACTGGAGGTGTTTGACTGTAAACTGGTGTGCGAGTGTCCTCTGACGTCAGCTACAATCTGCACTTCCTGTGGAAACACAGCTAGCATTAGCATTAGCGAGGAAGCAAAGTTTAATTTCAGATATCAAAGTGAACCACATCACACAGCTCGAGGCTTTTATTCAGACGATGGTGGGAATATGTTGATCTAGTTTCAATAAACAGAATATAAATGATGTGCAGATGTTATAATGATCCAGCTGTGACGGCGCCTCACAGATGTGCGTTTGCTGTGGAGCAGCTGCAGAAGAAGACGGCGTGCTCGGGCACGTCGCAGCTCTGCAGTCTGTTGTTCCTCTCGGGCTCTGAAACAGCAGCGCAGCTTTCACGTTGACTCTTTGATCGTTGCGAGGTGACGCACGCTGGTTTGGTTGCTTATTGAAGACTCAGGTTCCACAGAGTCCCCAAACTCAGCGCCGTGTTTTCAGCTTCAGCGTTTCTCTGATGCGTCCTCTGTGGAGTACGAGTCAGGAGCTCCTGGCTGCAGCGATGCAAACAGCTCACTCCTCACCACCGTGTGATAAAAACACCGATGCTTCTGAAACTTTGACCGTTTTTTCCTCACTGATGATATTTGGGGAACGCTGTAGTTCAGACTGGACCGACTCCTTCGTCCCTCTGAACGATCCGATGTGTTCGTCCCGTCGGGATATCGAACAAAATCAGGTGAAACAAACTCGACTGCAATGAAACTGATTTATATACAGAGAGCAAACTGCTGAACAGCTCAGCTGTGCCGAGTCTCCCCAGAGGAAGCTGACCCACATCACTTCCTGCTTTTCTGCCCTGTCAGGTGTTCTTCCTGTCATGGACGTCACATGAAAACGAGAGGCAAAGAGGAAGCAGGAGGACGTTAGCGTGGTTGTTATTGCAGGTATACAAAGCGCTTTCTCACGCTGTCTCACCCTCACTGTGAGGAGGTCATCTTAAATGTGCGGCTCCACCAAATAAACGTGCTCAAAGCCGCTGACGTCAGAGGTTGTGGGAGGGGCTACAGCACAGATGTTCCTCCCACAGAAGCTGTGTTTGCTCCTCAGGCCTCAGAGCAGGACAAACGTCTCTGCTGTGGTGTGGGTGCTTCCTGTGTCTGGCCTCAGGGGGCAGTACTGAGCTCAGATTACACCCCACGCTAACGGTTAGCGCCGCTGACTCACAGCAACGAGGTTCCAGGTTCAAACCTGCTGGCCTTAGCCTCACCATCTTAGCGGGGCGGCGCCCTGTCCAGGTGCCCCTCCTCCAGTGACAGCAGAGACAGGAAATGAAGATGATGAATGCAGGGAACATAAAAGTGAAGAAGAGGCAGCATGGTGACCGTCAGCGTGGAGA